TGATTTTCAACTGCTTAATTAAGGATTGTTGCCACAACACGAATTGCGAAAAAATATAGGAATTTCTGGAAATTTTAATATACGAATGTGTTAGATTTACGGATATTTTGGGAACGCAGCGGGGGGTGGTTGGCTTTGAAAAAATCCGTGTGACGGGGATGACTTATGCCACGTTTTCATGCGGCGTCGCCAGGACACCTTGCGAAGAGTGAAAAAGGACCGTGCCATCATAAATCAGCACATTAATTCGTAACGAGATTAGTATAATAAATCATCGTCCACACGGTATTTGCATATGCCGTGCATTACTCTCGTCATGTGACCCTCGTCTTCCGGATAGTCGACGTTAAACGTTGATGACGTTCGCGAAGTGAATATCACAATTAATATTCATCTGAGTTTTCCAGAACTTCCAGAATTGAAAAAAAAATTGAGTGCATTTTTGCACAACTCTACAAATGCGCGACATTCGCGAAAATTAAGCTATACATGTTCTGAAAAATATGAAATATAGGAAGAGATGCGAATCAGAATAAAAATTTGATACAACATAAAATTTGCGTTGGAGATTCTTTAATTTTTAATAAAAAGTATTTTTAATTTTTAATTTATAATACACTGGAAAAAGAGTCTGGTAGCATTAACTGGAGTTTTAGTTAGAAATGGACAAATCAGAATGTTTGGGTTGAATCTATTATAATTCTAGTTGCTGAGATAATCAGAAGTCTGATTAATATGATCATCAGAATTTTCTTCGTGGTCCATTTTCACTGTGGTATAAGATAATATTATTTCGTTAATTTCGTTACTTGTTGTCTTAGAAAGTACGTGTAGTGACAAAGCAGTAAATTACTCGAAATCGAAAGACTCCCTTACGTCCAATCTCTCTCGGGGATGTTTTTTTTTAGAGTACTCGAGGGTATCGTTGGATGTTTTTCGTCTTTTTCGTGTCACCCAGTAGAAAAGATCGATTCGCTTTTTGGGAGATACAAGCAGCGTCAAAGGGTTAAAGCTTATCGCGTGGGAACTCTTTTACTCCGTTCGTTCGCACACCCAATGGAATTAGCCGTCGCTAACCATCCTCCCGTCTGCCACCCCTGTCCCTGTAGGTCTAACCCGCGCCAATAAGAACGACAAGCGCGCACGCGCGTCCTTTCTTTCTTCGTTTTCTCTCTCTCTCTCTCTCTCTC